CCTTCTTTTTCCCCTGACACAGCCCAAGGGTTTTTTTGTTCCGGTTTTTTTTTTTTTTTTTTTTTTTTGTTTTTTCAGCTCAGTCTTGTTTGGCATATATACGTGCATGAGATGTACACTTTCGTTATTTCAAAAATCTAAAGACGGCTGGCTGGGACAGCTTTGTTTATTCTATGATGCTTTTTTTTTGTTTTCTTTTCTCCCCCCCCCCCCATTGTGCTTTATTTCGAATGTCTTGTAGTGATCAGCATGAAGCATGCACAAGTCCTCAGCGATCTGAGAGAAAACCAAAGTGCTTCGATGCTGTCTCTGATCAAATAAATTAGAACTTTAAAAATAGCTGTTTAACCAACCAAATCAACACATTAAAGGGTGAATATCATCATGTTTTTTTTTTTTGTTTTTTTTTTACAACTTTTTAAATTCAGTTATCTTCGGGTTCATAGCATACTGTAGCTATGTTTACATAGTGTACCTGTAATCTGCCATCGGAACGAGTTACGAAACGATTCTAATCGAAACCAAGACATCTAATACACTCTGGCGGGATTCAAGTAGATGTAACTTCTGCTCTGGTTCTGACCAGTTTTGCTCCTTGTGGTGCCTTCTGCCGTCACTAGAATAATACATGTCTGCAATGAAACAAAGGAATCGTGGAGGGAAGTTGCTGAAATTCTCATATTTTGATAATCAGTCCATGTTCCATGATTTTGATTACATTTATCTCTACTACACTTCAAAAGGATAGAAATTTTTAGTCACGATCCCGTCGCTTGTGAAAAGTCACTTTAAGCTAATGCTAAACATGTGGTTTTAGGAAAAGAAGGGAAGTACCTTGACAAAACCAATCGAGTCAAATACTGAACTGCCTGTTCGCAGTTCAGTATTTGCAGATTCACAGATTCAAGGATTTATTTGTTTTTTGTTTTTTTTTTTCCTGTGGAAAGTAACTTGACATTATTCATGAAAAATGGGCCTTTTCTGCATATTTTATCAGAATCGGAATTCCTTCGATTGTCACTGAACTGATGACAATGACGCATTGTAAAGAAAATAACGCTTGGAGCACTGGAACACCTACCAGTGCTACTCGACACGCCATTGGCTGGCATTTGCAGAGCACCCAATCCTGAAGCGCCAGACAACGAAGACCATAGATTAGTTTATACAGTAGTGCTAAGATGGTTCCTACTGTTAATATTAAGGCATATTTAGAGGGGTCTCAAGTACTTGCAGATTTTAGTCATTCACTATTGTCCCTAACCTCCATGAATACTGGGTGGGCTTTATAATTAACATGCAATCCATCGTTCATTCGACTCGCTGAGAAGAGGATGAGCCTCCTGCTCGAGGGTGGGGAAAGGCACCGAAGGAACATGTGGATGGAGACGTTGACGTGATCAACAGATTCACCCGCCGTTGCCTCAGTTTTCTGGTTCTGCATACAGAACTTTGTGGTTGTGAGCTCCTTCGCTGCATTGCCAAAAAAAAGACAGTCACAAAACTGTTTGACTCGATTGGTTTTGTCAAGGAATAAAACGTCCGTTTTCTCTTTAAAAATCCGTGAGCTCCGCTAATACGTACATTAAGGCATCTTCCACTTTTAGCAGTTGCACCTTTCAGTTTTAGAGAGGCAGATTCAAACCGGACTGTGAAAAAATTGATATGTGAGACATTTAATATTTGTAGGTTTTCAGACTGTAAAAATATGATGACATTTGCCCTTTAAGTAAGCAGCGTCTCTGCTGGTGTGTGTTGTGAAAATTGTGGGGGAAAAAAAAAAAAAAATCTTTTAACCTCTTACTTCATGGATATTTACCTCATCTGACTTCATTTCGGAGGCTGGCGAATTGTCTCAAATGGGCAATTGGAAATCTTAGGAGAGCCGCCTAAGCACCAGATCAGTAACAAAGATGATTACAGCCATCATAATCACTCGGATATACTTTTTTTGCTCGCTCATTAGCGCCACCTCTCCCACGCCGTACGCATGTCGAGGTCAAAACGGTGAGATTAACATAAATAACCAATAATCACAGTGTGTGTCAGCCTCACACGTCGCTGCTTATGAGCACAGTTGAGAGCTAGTTCATTTCTTCATAGCGCTGTTCTTCCAGCTCTGGAGGCAGATCTGAACATGGACTGGGCGAGATTGTCATTTCTTCCTGAACATTGCACTGTTCCTAGTTTTGCTCATCGTTTTTTTTTTTTTTTTATATACAGTGTTTTTGCTTGTCTTGTTCTTTGTCCTCTTTCTGCACAGATTATCAGCAACGGGGAGGTTTGGTGTAGGAACCAGGACAGCCTCTTCTCTGTCTCCCTTTTACTTGTTGGAGCGCAGACAGCCCCGATCCAGGAGGCGTAATTGCCCTGTTAATCAGTACAGTTTGATAAGAGAGACAGATGAATCGTTTCTATGATTTACAGATCTTTGGATCTTGATATATAAATCCTGTTTTTGAGGAAAACGCTTTTGACTATTGCATGTTCTGATTTGTTGAGAAAAAAAAAATATATATATATATAAAAAGAACTTTTTGGAAAGAATCTCCTGGATGTTTTAGAGATTTTGATATTTACATTTTCAGACGTTACAATTTGTAGATTGACTACCTAATTGCTCTGGGCTCTGATTATTTGTATCTGATTAAAATCCTGATCAAATGACCTTATTCTTTATGGTCCAATGCAATATGGGGGTCATCAGTTGCTGTACGAGGACCAGTCTCCTCTTTATACAGTTTTATAGAGAGAAACTCGAAGTAAAGGAGCTTTTTTTCACTTTTCCTTGTAGTACTCTGAACATTTTAGGAACTCTGGTGATAGTGAAACTCATATATTTTACGTAGGAGTAGCTTTGGCCCTGACGCGCTCTAAAGGACCGATTAGATTAGTTGCATTTTCTTGGTCAACACTGGGGTGGCGATCATGCTCTTTACAGGACACAATTCTTTCAAAAACACAACCTAAACGTTCAAACTGTGACAGAACATGAGGTTATTGAAATAAAATGCCTTGTTCTTGTTTTTCTTGTTTTCTTTTTCTTTCTTTCTTTCTTTTGCTTGCTATATTTTTATTTCGACTCTTTGACTTAAGCGCTCCCTCCTCAATCCCCTTTCCCCCCACAAGCCTTACAAGAAGGGGAGCTGCTGTTTTTGTCTGTTTTGAGACTCAATTTGTCTGCAATAAGAAGCTTTTTCCCTACGTTCAGAGGAAGAAAGGAGGGGACAGGATGCGTCTGGAGGTTCAGCAAATGGATGCTACTTATTGTCTTGTTGCTGATTACTGTGTGATGACCAACCATTGTCCTGAAGGATGTTTCCCTGTCAATTAAAGAAAAAAATGAAAAAAAGGGGTTTTTTTCAGTTTTTTTTCCATTCCTTGCACAGTCTAATGTACTTCTTGTTTTTGTCTTCATTCATAGAATGATTAATTCAGTTAATACACATATATCCTACAAGTTTATATAGAAATTTTGATTAAATACAATAGTTTTAAAGCACTGTTTTGCACCAAAAACAATCCTCAGGGGACGTTAAATATTAGCATTAGCATAGTGTTTTATTAGCAGTGGAAGGTTTTTTTTTTTTTTTTTTTTAATAACGTACAGAAAAATAAGACTAAACTGTATTATATGGAAGAGTTTACCGTCCAACTTTGGAGTGCCGTCTGTTCAACTTCAAACTGCTATATTAGTGTTTAAAATCTAATAATCTAATCAACAGAGTGAGGCTACGGAAGGTCTTTACCGCAACTGTGTAGGTAAGTAAAACAACCACTAGGTGGCACTGTTTAACTGTAAAACTTAGAGATGTTCAATTGAAAACTGAAAGATGTGGAATAGAATGTGCACAGAAGTCTTCATGCATCTGAATTACTTTTATTTGACAGAAAAAGTGTCAATCTTTTGGGTAAAGAAGATGTTGGGCTCCAATAGAAAAATATTTCATGACTTGTAGCAAGAATCGCCACGGGGGGGGCTTCAAAGAAATGTCAAAAATGATTCAGAATCTTAGTGTATTATTTTTTCCTCAAATGTATGACATTTATATTGTTTCTCCACTTGATCAATTATGAATTAAGTATGATTGAAAAGCCTTTTGTTGGGTCTAGTTTCCTTAGCCACAGCTAATCTCGTCTGCAGAGTCAAGAAATCACCTAGACAAAATAAGAGACAGACTGGGCAAAAATGGCATCCAGAAGAGAAAAGAATACAAAATTCCTTCTCGGTTTGCCTAAAACATCCCAATGATCCCAAAGTCAATATATTCTGTGTCCTGCTACATTTGGTGTAAAACCAACACAGTTTTTGAGAAAAGAAAAGAGCATAGAATGAAACCTCGAGGCCAAAGTATGACGTGAGCCTTGTTTGCTCCTTTAAGACCCAAATTACCATAAGTGATATAACTATGATTACTGCTCTCTACCAGAAAATCCTGACCAAAAGTAACCAACCTGTGGTCACACACACACAATCCAGGTAAAACGGGGCTTTACATACCAACATCTGCAAATGGCATGAAGTTCAAATCAAGATTAGCAAGATTACATTTTGTTATAAGACAGAATCATGAAAACAGTTTTGAAATGCATATAATTTAATGTGCAAATTTGCTGTCCCCCTTTACGTCTGTGCAGCAATTTGAGTGCATCCATAAAAGATGCCACTAGATGTTGCCATCCATCCACAGGCTTTAGCCTTGTGCACGTTACATTCTATACGATTTGTTAGTGAAGCAACGTCAGCTGTAATACGTTGTAAGAAGTAAAGGTCGAGATGACAGATTAAAAAAACGAAACGTCTCCTTTCCCACCTCCCTTGTCAGAAACGGTAGTGACTGGTAATGTTTTTTTTTTTTTTTTTTTTTTTTCATTTAAGTGCCAATATTTATCAAAGCCTATTTTCAACTGATGGATTTCACTTTTACAAACTCCATTTTAATTCATCACCCGTCACAACAGCATCAGTCACTGGGCTTTTTTTGTCGAGGTCAGCCAGTCCTGCCTTCTGATGTATTAGGAAACTCTGCATTTAAAAGCAGCTCAATCTTTTGGTGATTTAATTTAGCCTGTCAAAGCTTTATTCAAAGAATTATTTTTGACTGCAACCACTAAAGAAACACCTTTCATGTTGGTTACAATCTTTGAAATGTGTGTGCGCGCGAGTGCGCGTATGTTTTTAAAACATTCCTCCACTTGATTTCTCTCTGTGAAAAGCCTGGCGCAAATGGCGCAATAAGGCCATCAATTTGAGTTTTCTTTGTCTGCTGTCAATAAAGCTATTTTGCTGCAACAACAACAGTTGTTGCACAAAAGGTTTCTAGCCAAGACTGAACGTGTTCTTTCCAGAAGCGTCTACGATGAAATGCCACATTACGTACCCGATCTCAAGTACAAAAAGTAAAAATATAATTTCGAACATACTATTTATAAAATGCTCTATCCTGATGCAGAAGTCGTTTATAATTAAAATCAAATATGTTGTTGCCCAAATAGAAAAATCCCTTCACAGTAAAGTTGTTCCTCAAGGATCTATTCTTGGACTGTTTTTGTTTATATCTCAATGAATACTCTTCCATCTGCATGTCCTAAACACAGCACTCAAATGTACTCATATTTTTTGGGTACGTTTAGAAAGAGGTTCCAAATGAATGAACAAATTTGCTTGCAAGTTGTAGGTTCACACTGTGTAATTACCAACATGTTCAGTTTTCAGAGTTGTGAGCTTTAGTTGCTGTTTAGTTTGACCTACACAGCAACCAGTGGCTTTTGACTCTGTGTTTAAATGTCTGCAAACGATAGTGCTGCATTGCAGGACGAATTTCAGACTCGTTCGGATAATAATCCCTCCTTCTCTCTATGATGACATCATTAACAAACATGACTTGCAGTCAATTTGTAGTTGGATCTGTGTCTCTGTTGGATCCCTCTGAGTTGATTTTGTTATACGAGTCTCGCAGCCAGGTAATCTTAATTACCATTAAGATTTTACAATGTTGAGACACATCCTGTATGATTTTGGAGATTGCATAGTGTGTTTGTGCTTTTTACCAACTTTTTTTTGTTTTTCTTCCCAGTCAAACATGTCTACTGAAGAGTTAGATGTTGTGTGAGGCAGGAGGTTTCAAGTTGCTTCTGAATGCAAGTTTCTTTTTTTTTTTTTTAATTACCATTGAAAACATCAATGCACAGTGGCGCAGTTGGTAGAGCTGTTGCCGTGCAGCAAGAAGGTTCTGGGTTCGATTCCCGGCCCCGGCCTTTCTGCATGGAGTTTGCATGTTCTCCCTGTGCATGTGTGGGTTTTCTCCGGGTACTCCGGTTTCCTCCCACAGTCCAAAAAACGTGACTGTTAGGTTAATTGGTCTGTCTAAATTGCCCCTAGGTGTGTGTGCGCATGGTTGTGTGTCTGTGTTGCCCTGCGACAGACTGGCGACCTGTCCAGGATGTACCCCGCCTCTCGCCCGGAACGTTAGCTGGAGATAGGCACCAGCACCCCTCCCGACCCCACTGAGGGACAAGGGTGTTCAGAAAATGGATGGATGGATGAAAACATCAAATCTCAGCTTGAAAAGTTATTAAACATCTAAGATTTTTCAGATATGATTCATTGTCTAATCTGATGCATCCCTTAAGCTACTGTTTCTGCTACTGTAACATTAATAACTTTGGCAATCATTTTGAGGTTTTCTTTTTTATTATTGTATACTGCAGAGGGAGGGGAGAAGCCCATAACTTGTTGAGCTTGGAAAACAAATATGCAAACTTGAGG